TCTTTTGTCTCTCTGTGTGTTTTAATGCAAATAAGTTTCAGGTGGCTTTTGGCTGAGTGAAGGCACCAAGGGCAGAAAGGGGCTGCTTAACTCTCTCCTCACTGACCAGTCACCCACTGAATATTTCCCCGTTATAATTGCTTTTGTCTGCAGAGGAAAAAATACTGAAGGACCTGCATCCTATTCCCTCTGGATAGGAAAGCCAAGACGCTGGGGTGCAGTTTTGAGCAAACAGTTTTGAGCACAGCCCCTTCCCATGCCCATCCATCCTCATCCAAGTCCTTTGCTCATGGATCCCTGACATTTTAAATGTTTAGAAATACAGTGGTACCTCTGGTTAAGAACTTAATTCATCCTGGAGGTCTGTTCTTAACCTGAAACTGTTCTTAACCTGAAGCACCACTTTAGCTAATGGGGCCTCCCGCTGCCGCCACTGCGCGATTTCTGTTCTCATCCTGAAGCAAAGTTCTTAACCCAAGGTACTATTTCTGGGTTAGTGGAGTCTGTAACCTGAAGCATCTGTAACCCGAGGTACCACTGTCATCATTACAGAACTAGACCTGACTGAGCCGGCCCAGTCATTAGGCAGGGTGATGCCACTGCTTCAGGCAGCAGAAACCCCACAGGAAGCATGCCCATGGGTGCTCCGCCTGCCCCACTGCCTCTGCCAGTGGCGGAGAAGTGCCGCCACCATCGGCACTGATTTTTAGCAAGGTTGTGTCCTTTTGGAGCAAGATCTCACCCCAATTCAGCACGAACTTACCCCAAATTGGTGCTGATGACGGTGCTTCTTTTCCACAGGCAGCTGATGCAGCAGGGGCAGCAGGGGCAGGGAGGTGGTGGTGGGAGTGCTGGCTGCAGCAGGGCAAAACAGCACTTTCCATCTTGCTTCTAGCAGTGAAATGGGATGCACACACCCCTGGCAAGACATGATATGCAGTTTGTTCCACATACTCCACAAGCACAGAATGGAAGATAGGATTGCTGCAGCGGAGAAACAGCCCGCACATCACTAAGAACACAGGTTTATACAAAACACGGAACTATTAAACTGAACAAATTAAAATAAAATGCCTCTTAGGGGCATATGATGTAGGCAAATCCGGTGTTGTTTTCTTTTTGGTCAGAAATCATTGCTTATATCAACATGGTCTTGGAGAAATCAATGATATTTGCAGATGTTCACACGCTCTTAAATTATATTCTGTGCTCCTGGGACTAACACATGGACAACAAACCCAGATTCTGAATCCTTGTGGTGTGTAAGAAGTTTATACTGCAACACTAGAAAGACATCAATCCACCATCTATCATCCACTGGTAATGAGTGTGAACATATGGCTTATAATTGTCCATTTCATTTAGACACCTGTTTGGACACTTGGACTTCCTACTGATTTTTACTATTGTCAATGTCAGCTGGCAATGGATTTGCTCATTACTACTATTGTTCATTTTTGTTTCTCTTCCTTTTTCTGTTACAGTTGTAAATAAATTTTGGGGGCAGAGATTCATGTTAAAATAGGAAGACAGATTAGCTAAATCAAGCGGGAGGCACTCTCCCACATGGGTCAACTTTTACATGTAAGTAGGACTGCCCACCTGTCAAACAGCTGGCATCATAATGGCATCAGGTGATTGACATCTGTCAGTGTTCAAAAGAGGTTTCTGTAACTCCTAGCCAGCAGATCAATGGTTAAAACAACCTCCTTTGGAGACTTGCTTTCAGCACCAATCAGCTGATTGGCACTGGGACTGCACCTTCAAAGAAGCTCCCTATAACCATTGATTAAACTGATTGACAATTACAGGAACACCCCTGAAGTCCCAGCAGAGAGAAAAATGATCCTCAAAGTGGTGCATTTTCCCTTCTGCTGAGAAAGTGGTTTGCATTCAAAACACTTCCTTCAGCTCTTTAAATACAAACTGATTCCTCTGGAAAGGAAAATAAAAAGTTGTGTTCAAAAATGGCTAAATGGTTTAGCAACTAAATGGTGAAGCATTGCTGTCAAGGATGGAGGTAACCGTGCAGATGTGCACAAACCTTTCCTACTGTAGATTAGGCTTTTGGGTTGCCAGGACGTAATGCATGAGAAAGATAAAGTAAATGTGCAGATGAATATTTTCTTCTGTTCTTGCTGCAGTTGGTACTTCTTGTTTCATATGAATCACCAAACATTTTTTTTTAACTGAGTGCAAGGTTAAAAAAAAAAATCTGATCAGGCGCTGAAAATGAGATTTGGGTTGTTTACTGATATGAGAATCAGAAAGAAATGCTGGCTGAATATATACATCTGATACCCAAGGTTTTATGAATCAGAGTGTTTGTGTATAAACAAATCTCACAGAATATCAGAGTGAGCTACATCCAATTTTTTTCTTAAGAATCAAGGTGAAAACTGTTATTTATATAACACACTGTTTTCCTGGATTGGAAAATGATAGTTTCACACCTAAATCATTTTATATTTATACAATATAGAAACATTATTTGAATAGGTTGTTTTTTGGAATAAAAATAGCAAAAGTACCTTTTATTCCCCAGCCACCTCAAATACTTAGATTTTGTAGATGCTCACATTTTTCCACCTCTGTTTAGCTCAGTTGTTTCTATATAATCACTGTGTCGTGTCATCGCCCCCCCCCTTATTTCTGGATTAATCCTATTGATGATTCCACCCATTCAGGGATAATGTAGTAAATGGGATAATGCTACTTCCAGATTTGTCTCCATAGCCAATCAGATTTGGCTTTGTGATGAAGTCACTGAGGGCAAGTGAGAGAGGGGGGCAATTTCAATCAATACACAAACATTTAAAAAACAATTGAAAGGGGGGAGGGTTTCAAGCACTGCTTAAAATGTTTGTGATAAACTGTGAGTAGTTTTGAGATAGACAAAGTTCTGAATGTAGAAATAGCAAATGGAAATTTTCTTATATCTTTTTTTTAAAAAAATCCACACTCTTTTTGTGTGTATGTCAGATGTTAGAGAAAATATTTGATTTGTGCTCATCTGGTGGATATCTTGGCATGCCGGAAAGCATTATTTAATGGAAAAAAATCAAATATTTTTCACAGCATCTCTAATTTACACTGCATCTGGTTGCTTTCAAAGGATTTTTTTGCAGAAAGAATGACCTAAATCAGAAATGTTGCCATTTCTGGCTTGCTTTCTCATACAGACACCCTCGTCCACATCTTCTTGAACTCTGAAAGAACATAAAGTCAGACCCCAGAAATCAGGTCATATAAATCATGGATGATTACCACTGAGTGATGAAATGAATATTTTTGTGTAATGAAATATACACATTTGACTTTTTGAGTTTCTGTAGTTACGTTCATTTCAGTTGAGTTGCTAAATTCAAAACACATGCCAAAGCCAAGGATTAAAGTTTACAAAGACAGATTTTCACATTTCTTTTGGTGAGTGTTTTTGTCAATAACACACATGAAAAGGATCTGAGAAGCTTTATTGCATTCATTTAGCTGCCATAAATCAACAGATAATGAAAAGTTTATTTAAATTAACCACCTTTGAAATGACATAATAAGCACAGGAGTTTTAAACTTACATCCTAACCATGAGAGGATAAGATTCTGGGTCTGACATTTAATATAATGGTCATTAGCTAGCAGAACTGGAGTTTACTGTTAAATTACTGTTTTTTTAATGGAAATAAATGTTGAGTTGGTCAGTTGTAGTTCAGCTGCAGAGCAACTTTATGCCAGGTGTACAGTGTTCTTACACGTGGCATTTTTACCTATTTACAAAGAGAAAGATGTGGTGTAGTAGTAGCCTTTCAACCTTGCTCAGGGAAGTCTAGGAAACCTTGGGTGTGCCACTGACTCTCAGATCACAGATCAGTGATGGAAAACATGCTTTGTATGCAGAATGTCCCAGGTTCAGTTCCCTGACCTCTCCAATGAAAATGATCAGACACCAGGTGATGTGCAAGACGTCTACCTGAAACATGAAAAGCTGCTACTCTGAGCAGATGATAGCGTTACATAGACAAATAGTGAGAACAGGTATAAGGCAGCTTTCTTGATTCCAACCATTCCAGGAAGCACTATACTGTACCTTAGTAGTAGAACACCTGCTATGCATGCTTAAAGTCCTTGGTGTTAACTGTGAGGAAGCAAGTAGTAGGAAAGGCTATCAGACACATCAGGGAGCCACTGCCAGTCCAAGTAAGCAATACTAGACTAGACAGATAAATAGTTTGACATGGTATAAGTAAGCTCCATCTATGCCTTCCTGAACAATTTAAAAGAAAGGTTGCATACAAATATGATAAATAAAAACAGTTTTACATGGGAAAAAATGCCTATCCATGTGTACACAGGCTACTGTGCCAAAGTAGATAGAATTTCTGGTTTCAATAACAAAGCAAGTTCAAGCCTTTCTTGCCCAGTTCTCACTGGAGCCCTGAGCAAATAATGATCTCTAAACCTAACTCTTGTCAAAGGGTTACAGTAAGTCCACAACTTACATGTGGGGTATGTTTTGCGGATCACACCTAAAACCAAATATATATATATAGTCAAAACACATGGTGGGTGGGATTGCCAAACTCATTTTTCCCTGAACCCCACTCCTTTTTTTCTTTTTTGCCACATACATAAAGCGGAATGTGCACAAGCTAAATGCAGGTAAATTTCAGGCTTCCTGTATTTTGATCTCAAAACACCACTGTAGTGCAATAGCTTCTGTTTTGCCTGTAAAACTTGAGTTTTAATACCTCTTTTACAATATAAACATTTGCTGGGAATTTGCCACCAAGCACACTTTTCCATTGCCCCCAAAAGGGCACGTGTCTCATTTCCACACATTTTTTTTCAAAGCAAATTGCCATATGTGAACAACCCTGATAGCAGGCAATCAAGAGTCATAGGAACATAGGTAGTTGCCTGAGTGAGACCATGGGTCTGCCTAGCTCAGTACAGTCCCCTAGCAGTGGCCTTCCGTGATTTTAGGGTTCTTTCCTAGCATTACCTGCAGATGCCAGGGTTTGTACCTGGGACATTCTGCATACAAAGCAGATGCTCAACCAGCTGAGGTAGCTCAGGAACCTTTTCTACACAGGTCAGAACTGTGATTCTCCACTGACTCAGAGGAGTCTGAGGGCATCGAGCACTGTGTGGACCTCATCCTGAACCCTGTGAGACTTGTTCTATGAGCTGCAGGGGGCTTTATATTTGTTCATGAAAATCCACAGCTTTCATGCCACATGACAAACCGCATTTCAAACTGAGGGAAGAGAGTTTCTGACATGGCATGGTGGTCTATTATTTATGGGGGGGGAGTAAAAAAAACCTTCCACAGTCCAAGTCTCTTATATCAGCCTAAGCAGCTATTTGGAACCTAGTCATATTTTCTGTGCGCTGTTGCCCATCTGGAGCCTTTGACATTGGGTGGGCTAAAAGAAAAGAAAACTCTAAAGCAATGCCAGGGTGCACAGTGTGAAAAGCATTAGCACAAGCATTTCCGTTTATTTTGCTAGTAGTGCAGTAAGCTGTGGATGAGGTTTCCTGCCACTGGAGGGTGAAGGGGTGGAGATGTCTATGCTAGGAAGATCAGTTTACCTGTTTCCTCTATAATTTAGACACTGAGAATTCAATTGTGCAATTGCAGTATCAAACTAAAAATGCACTGTCTTGGCTTTGAATTGTGTCAAATTATAAATGGGGGCTGGGCTGGTTGTTTGGTTCAGCTCTAAATTTGTATCACAATAAAAATGCATAAAGCTGTAGAGTTTCCCACATTCTGCTTTCAGTTATGATGAAAGTGAAAAGTAGTTCATCATAGGGATAGTGCCCACATGACTGTCAAATATTTGTTGCTCTCTGACTGGGTCATAAAGTAGGGACATGCATTTATTTCAGGTGAATCGTGGACCATAGGAGGCTCCTTCAGAAAGATTTAGGGTTGTCTGAAGCAAGATCTGTCTGACACACCTGAACAAAAGCAAGAGCCTCCAAAGCGATTTGAGGTGCTTCAGAAATTCAGATTTAAAAAAAAAATACAGGGAGTGCAATTGTCAAAAGTGAAACCTCTGCCATATAAAAGGTAACATGAGAATTGGAGGTGGGGCTCTTTTGTGACTGACAAGTGTAGCTTCTAATCAGGAAGAATGATTTTAGTAGGGGTCTCCAATCACAGTGCTTTGGGGAAGATATGTTGAAACAATGTAGCACTTTGTTCTTGTCTCCTCTGGGCTCTTTGCAAATCAGCAGTGGATGGGTCCAAGGTCCTCCGCCAAGGATGGTCCAATGTCTCTCCTCTCACCAACACGTTATCTTTTCTTTAAACATTAGACAAGCACTGTCTCTGCTGTTTTGTTTTATTTGGTTTGGTTTGGTTTGGTTTGGTTTTTGTTTTGTTTTTTGTTTTGTTTTGGCACCTACCGAATACCTTCCTCTTCCAACATGCCTTGGTTTTTATGATGCTTTGTAATTTGTTGTTTGCCACCCTTGGGCCCTTTTTGGAGTGAGGATGCGATATAACTTTAAAAAATAATAAGAATTTTGAAAAAAGTAGACGAATGTAATAGAGAATCTTGACTATAGGATATCCTCTCCTTGGAAAGGTTGGTGTGTTATGGCCTATCTACATTTCTGATTTATAGCATTTCCATACTCATAATAACAGTCATGGCTTCCTCCAAAGAATATTGGGTATTGAAGTTTGGTAAGCAGTTTCTATTAGAGATCTCAAGCTTCTCCACACTCCCTTGCAAAACTGCAATTCCCAAGGTTCCACAGCAAAAGGGGAACTTCTCTTCTGTGGGGCAAAATCTATGCCATTTGACTCTCAGTTACTTTCAAGTTCTATGTATATTTGGAGGGTGATGTTCCCAGAGTTCTTTAATGTGTTTTCCCCCCTCAAATGTATTTGAGGGGAAACACTGATATGAATCTCAGCAGTTAACAATTACTTTGAATGAAACAGTTTTAGCCTCTCAGTTTGCAGGTGTTTTCCTCATATATGTGATAATAGTTTACTTTAGATAGACTGAGTGCTGGGATGGGATTTTAGTTTATTTTTATGGTGCAATCCTATATATGTCTACTCAAAGGTAAGCCCCACCAAATTAAATGGTAAGTGTGTATAGGATTGTAGCCTTACCATGCAGTTCTGTTCATGACTACTCAGGAGCAAGCCCCATCAAGTTCAGTAGGACCTATTCCTAGGAAAGTTAGTATAGGATTGCAGTCCCAGTCAGCTCTCAGAGGGAAGTTAATGGCTGCTATATTCCAAAAATCAGTACAGTAGTACCTCAGGTTAAGAACTTAATTCATTCTGGAGGTCTGTTCTTAACCTGAAACTGTTCTTAACCTGAGGTACCACTTTAGCTAATGGGGCCTCCTGCTGCTGCCGCACGATTTCTGTTCTCATCCTGAAGCAAAGTTCTTAACCCAAGGTACTATTTCTGAGTTAGCGGAGTCTGTAACCTGAAGCGTCTGTAACCTGAAGCGTCTGTAACCCGAGGTACCACTGTATATAAAAGTCCATATCTCAAAGCCCAAGGTGTTTAATTTAGAAAATCTGATTTGCATCCCAGTTGGAAAGGCAAGGCTTTTGTTTTGTAAATTTGTATGTCAGTCAAAGGCACTTGGGGGTAGAGTTTTCCTAGCAGAAAATATTAGAGGCATTTACTCTTAAATCTGGCTAGATTCCACAGTAGGAAAAGCTGGCTCTATATTCCACACAGCCATAAACAACAACATCATAAAGATGATGACTCAATGTTTTGACAAGGTTTTTTAAAAATATTTTTCACATGAGCATATGAAGAAATTTTAATCTGGGCTTCATATTGGAATAAACGTGTTCTTCTCAGACACAAGTCTGCCATTCTTTGCCTTCTGGGCCCTATTAATATAATGTTTATGCATTTCATAGCAGAGCAAAATAAAATACTTTGAGCCGATCCCTACAATTTGGGTGTGACTTCAAACAAACAAGAACAATGTTCTTAGGATAATGAAACCGGAGGAAAAAAAGACAACCAAGGCACAATGGAAACATGAAATTATGCATCTGTCTTTCTCCATTATCCTTCTATTACTTTCTCCCTCCACAGCTCTATGTCTGCTTCATAACTAAATTTTGAAAATCTAGAATGAATGATAATACAATACTAGCGTGAGAAAGGCGTAGAAAAGATTACTGTGGCCATAGTAGGGTAGGGAATAAGTGATCTCAGTAAAATAAGGCTAGCTACTGGGGCTGTGGGTGCTGCCACCCCCATCTGACTCAGGGCTCAATCAGTACTTTGGGGTGTCCCCAAATAAGCCTGGAATGATCTGGGGCCCACCTGCCCCACACCTGGGCCCCAAATCAAATCATAGAACCTCACACAGTGTTTAATTGGGGTTTAACTGTGATTAAACATGCTGTCAAGGGGAGGGTGGGTGGAAAAGACGTAGGCAGTCTTCCTGCATCTCCTCCTCTCCCCCCACCCATGCACATTTAATTACATTTTTACTATGGTTACCAGACGTCCCCATTTCCCGGGGACAGTCCCCTGATTTACAAATCTGTACCCGGACAAAATCCGTTCCCGGAATGTCCCCGGATTTCATTTAACGCCCCCAGATTTATATTTTAAGTGTTGTAGATTTATTAGTAAGGAATGAATGCTGCGTGATTGGTTCAACGGCACAAGATGCATCATATGGAGATTTCCAGCAAAATGGCGGGCACCATGGCAGCAAGCAGCTCCTGAAGCCAGCCAGAGCCAACCGTGCAACCGGGGACTCCCGGCACATCAGGTGGGGGGACTGCTGCCCCCCCCCCAGACCCAAATCAAGCCGGGAGCGAGAGCACCCAGCAGACTGCCCAGCGGCACTCTGGGGCCAGGAAAACCCCGGAGCCAACGCAGGGAGGATAAGGAAGAGAAAGAGGGAGGAGAAAAAAGAGGGGAGAACTGGCCTTGCCGTGCTGCTGCCGCCACTGTGGGAGAAAGGTAGGAGAACACCGGGAGGGCAAGGACATGTGGTCGAGCCCAGGCCTGACCATAGCCGACTCCATGGTGGCTAGCGCTCCAAGAGAGCAAGCCAGGGCCCAGAGGAAGGCCGTACGACAGAGGAGACCACAGAAGAGAAGATATTACTTCTTATTTAAAAAAACAACAACACTTTTTAAATAATCTTTTTCTCTTTTCAAAAAAAAGTGCCCCTGGATTCTTTGGGGGGGAAACCTGGTAACCTTATTTTAAACCCTAATTAAACACATGCTTGGTAGAAGGGAAGACAGTTCAGGCAAGCCACCCATGTCTCCTTCATCACCACACTCCTCGCTATCCAACCATTCCAGGGGGACCCAATCCTACCCGGGGTCATCTGGGGCTGCCTTAACCCACCCTGGCTGCATTTTTGGTCACCCCGATATCAGCCTGACTCAGTTTGGGATCTGGAATTCAGCCAGAATAGTTTCATGGCCCTAGTGAACATCAGTGGTCTTCTGCTTGTGCAACAGGACTTCATCTACCTCTTGTCACTCCTGCAGCCCCCAAGAACCCCCAAAGTGTGCTCCATAGGGTTTCTCCAACCCTCCAGAGCACACTTTGAGGGCACATGGAGGACTGCAGTGGGAAAGATTATGAAGTCCCATTGCATGAGCAGAAGTTTCCTCATGCAGCACTGGATTCTAATGTCAGTGATGAGGTCATTGCTGTTTCGTTTATATCCCACTTTTCCTCCAAGGTGCTCAAGGTACATGATACATGATTCTCCCTCTCAAGGTACATGTACATGATTCTCCCTCTCTCCACTCACAACAACCTTTTGAGGTAGGTTAGGCTGAGAGTCTGTGACTGGCCCAGGTCACCCAGTGAGCCTCATGCTTGAGTGAGGATTTGAACCCTGGTCTTCCAGGTCCTGACAGCCTGATCACTGCGCCACAATGGCTGGAACCATTTATAGCATGTCTTTCTGCTGCTAAAGGGATCTTATGCATGTTCCTGTCATGCTAGTTCAGTAAAACAGTGAGAATCCCTGAGAAGTTTCTGAGAAACCCAGAGGAATTCAGGAATGCTAAAAATATGGTTTAAAAAGTAT